AGTACTAAAAGCCTTTTCAACATGAGTCTTACAACTAAGGCTAAATACTTTAACTTAAACTTAAATACATGCTCGGATAGGCTGGTATCGGCCAGTATCGGTATCGGATCGGAAGTCCAAAAACAATATCGGTATCGGATCGGAAGTCCAAAAACAATATCGGTATCGGATCAGAAGTGCAAAAACCTGGATCGGGACATCTCTAGTCATAGTATTGGTTCTGGTTTTGTAACGTATTTCTGGTTGTGTTTGGGCTGCAGGATGGCGGACTGGCTGAAGAAGCAGGCGGAGCGTGAGGCAGAGAAGGAGCAGCGGCGTCTGGAGCGTCTCCAGAGGAAACTAGCTGAGCCCAAACACCAGTTCACCGACCCGGAGTACCAGCGGCAGTGCCACGACCTGAGCGAGAGGCTGGAGGACTCGGTGCTGAAAGGTGACGGGTCAGAACTGATGGGGACCGCTGAGTCCAGCTGCGGCTGTGTGTGACTAAGGTGTGTGTTTGATGCAGGCCTACAGGCGTCCTCCAGCGGGCAGGTGAAGGCGGGAGACTCCTCAGCCGCCAAGAGACCCAGCATGGATCAGAAGGAGGCCCCGATGAAGAAGAAGAGGAAGACCGCCGCTGCAGTCGGGTTCTGGTCAGTGGAGGAGGTTCTACCAGATGGGGTGAAAGAAGCAGAACATGATTAGTGATTATCTGTTGTCATGGTTACAGGACGGGTCTGGAGGAGCTTGTGAGCTCAGAGGATGATGAAGAGGAGGATGATGATGATGATGATGATGGGTCCCCAGGTTGCAGCAGAGGAGCAGCGGTTACCATGATGATCCAAAGGGACAAGGTGGAGGCTGGATCCAGCAGCAGGTACTTTGGACACACCTGTCCTCTGCATGGCAGAACCAGGCCTGCTGGTGCTGAAACGGTTCGGGGACGGCTTCAGGACCGGGTTCTGTTGAACCCATCGTAGTTATCATAGCAGAACCAGCAGCATCACGAGCCTCGTCAGAACCTATTGGGATCTGGGCTGAAACAGATTCGCAATCATTCTGCCTGTTTCATCCGATTTAATCTAGAACTGATGTGCTAGATCAGGCTCACCAATTAAACATCAGCAGGGTCCGAATAAAGAAAATCAACCAGTAAAGGTCCAGAGACATTTATAATTATAATCCATTACTTTAAAAGAATTTAACACTGAAATAAAATGAGGTGTTTATGCATCCTGTTATACATTTAATTTTTAAATATAAAAAAATATATAATAAAAAAGAAATGGAAATTTTTTCCATTTTAAAATCCTAGAGTGTTTTTTTTTTTGAAGTAGAGAACAACAATTGTTCAGTTTGGTATATAGACAATTTCCTGATTCACATCTTTTATACAACACCTGAACTGACATTTTGTTGTTTTTCTTTCTTTTTTCTGGCTTAATGTTGGCAGTGGGCTTTATGCTGCCCTGCAAGGCTTTAAACCTGGGTTTGAATGGAGACAGCCATTCTAAAGCACACATTAAGGTGCTCATTTTGAGCCTGGATCCAGATTTATTTTTGATTCTCTTCATGGTGGAGACAGTTCTGGACGGCTTTACCATATTAACAGGAGAAGCAGCGCAAGTGAAGTTAAGACACTGCCGTTGGACAACATGCGGTAATTTATACATGTTTTAAATCGGGTTGGATCCGGATTAGCCAGCAGGTGGATCCGGACTGTGGTCCGCTAATCCGTGACCTCTGTTCTGGATAAAATCAGACAGCTGAACCCATGTATAAAAAGTCTTATCTAGATAAAAACTGTCCAAGACTGATCAGTGAGTGAAACCTGGAAATTATATCATTGACTCTTTTCTTGCAACTTATGGTCAAACTGGTCCAGTTAAAGTTTAATCTGCTGTAAATTAAATCAACCACATAAAAAATCCAGAGCGAACAAATTTATAGATTTGAACTGAAAATAAGTTTCTCGTCAGCATAAAATGTAAGAATCTTTATCATTTATAAAAAGCCCTTTAAAACCCTAAAATGCCAGCGTTAAATATAATGGATATATTGTATCCATTTTGTATATTGCTCCATTTTCTTTTTTATACCTATAGAACAATATATAAACTAATGTTTTATTTCATGTCCGTCAGTCAGATTAGCTTAAAGAATGGGAGAATATGGGGCATCTGAAATTTAATCACTTAAAAAATAAATAAATAAATAAACCGATCAGAATCAAACTGTTCTGCATCCAGGCTTGGGTTCAATAACCAGATCCTCGTTGTCTCTTCCAGCTCATCTGACTGCAGCTCCTCCTCAGGCAGAACATCAGTAGACCAGAACAACGGACCCTCAACAGAACAAGCCTCTGCAGAGGAGCAGAAACCGGGCCCC